TTTTTTTTAATTTCCTCCCCATTGAGCATGTAGCACAGTAACCTTGGGCATCATGGGTTGTTTCTTTTTTTTTTGTGCTTAGCCTAAGACGGGATTTGAATCAAACATGGAACTGATCCACTCATGAATCTGGTGTAACATCCATTATGCTATTGATGATTATTATGAGGTTATTACGAGAAGTATGCATGAAGACAGTACAGCGGGCGTATCGACCGGTGCGCAGCAGTGGTCGATGCGACAGCGTACTGCATGAATGTATACTTTGAGGTATCCTAGTAATAACCTTATTATTATACATCTTTTCCTTCCAAAGATGCATCATGGGAATGCCGAAATCCAAAAAGTTTGGAACAGAATCAGCGAACTTCTTTGTGTGGACTCCGGACAAATCCTGGTGACAGTCATGTTTGTTCTTATTATTATGCTTACGCGTGTAATTATTCCATATTTGGAATTCGCATTTCCTAATATGGTAGGAAGAAAATACCGCAAAATTACGGCATGCTGTAATGTATGGTGTTACGGTGACAGATGTTTAATACTACTAATTAGTTAACCACCGATTGTTGCACAGCATGTGTACCAGGACACAACATAGAAAAGGGTTAGGTCACGTGAAAAATATATTAATAACCCCTTACTACATTAATTGTGGTGTTCTTACCATTTCTTGGTTTAGTGAGATGATCTGGAAGTCCATGTTCTAAACCCATACCAGGAATCAAAGGAGTATTCACTGATTCATCGTCTGAAAATGAGCAAGACATAAAATTACACATTTGGTTGATACATTATTGCAATAAAATGTATCACCTTTTAATTGTGTTTGTATTCGTGTTACTGCATATCATCGAGTGGGTAGAGCTGAATGAATACAAAACAAGGAATTTTCTCCATAAATAAGTTTCCTACTACCACATGAATTTATACAATATGATTGGTCAGGTTGCCTTCTAACGTGCATAGTATACTATTTTAAAGTTTGATAATCATCTGATAATGTTGAGAGTTAGATCTCGAAAGTTTTCACACTTCAGATCTGTACTTCACTAGTAAATTTATAGATATTGCCCATATTGTTATTAAAATGCAGAAAAACCAAAGGTGTGGTTAAATTAAATAAAATCTATCTATTTACATAATATTTAACTCAACTTACCATATTCCAACGCTTCTATGGAGCTCCCCGCTGGCAGTAAATTCAAATTATATTTATCCCTCATCTTATCGCCTGGACGATTTCTCGTCCAAAATTTTCTATACAAGAGAGATGAGGATGATTCATTAATAGTCCTAGTATAGTGTGTAACTTGTGGCTAGACAGTATAAAAGGGTTGCCTGGGACAACAAAGAAAATAAATAGCAACTGACTTAACTCAACTGACTTTAGTAAATATATAAGCAACATACATTTAAAACTTAACATCAAGTTCTGCAGTTTGTAGACAATCAATGTACTGTACTAAAATTTGGAAATAAATATCTATAAACACATCAAACCCATTAAAAAATATAAACACTTTGTCTTCACTGGCAATTGGTTTGTCAGACGAATTATAAATTCAGACAGGAAAGCCTCACAGCTGACTTGCCATCATTGCCATACATTCTTAGTCAATAATTCACTCAAAACAAATTTTTTGAAAGTTTTGACTGCACACTTAGATGGTTTCAGCAATGAAAGATAATTTTAGATACCTTATTACATTGATATCACATCAATATCACATCGATGTAGCCAATTTTAATTTTCATTGAAAACTAATAAAAATTATGTTTATATGAATAGTGCTTGTACTTACGTGGTATGGTCATTAGACCCAGAACACAGGATATGTCCCAGGGGATGCCACGCTAGACTCCACACCATTCCATCATGAGCTTGTTCCATCCCACCTACCTCTTTATCAATTCTAAAAGACAATTTATGATTATCATTATTATACATCTGGCAGTGAACAAATTCAGTCGCTTGTAAAAACCTAATATGAACACGTTTGAATGCGTTAAAATGTGTTACAGGCATATTCCTTATTTGGCAAAAACATGTCCTATTCACACCACATTCTATTTGACTACATCGAACAAGGCAACAAAGTACGAGTAGGTCATGAATTTTTTTTTTTTACATGTGCTGTGTAAACATTTCAAGGACATCACAGAGACTGTTGTGATTTTCTTTCATGACAAATGACCTGAACTGAACATTTTATAGTGATAATATACTAATAATCAAATAATCAACACCAGTGAATAACATAGTTGAACTCTGGTGACCTTGCCCTTTGTTATATAATATAATTCCCTTTAACATAGTTTCTTTCAATATAAATTTACATTGTCATAATTAATTTTGAATACAAAAAAGTTTTGGAATTGAACAAACAGTGGGGAATCAGTCTACCGAATGTCCTTTAAAGATGTAAATATCTTACAAAAACATTGGTGCCTTATTTGTTTAATTATTTTAAGGAACATAATTTCCAGCTTTATTGAAAGTAATTGAGATATTTTAGAATAAAAACAAATGTCTCATTGCAAAAAGTGCTGCATTTAAATGTGAATAGATTCATAAAACATGCAAGATAACAGAAAAATTTAGCTGGCTTTAGTCCAAGTATTTTGTACAGGTGTCTGTCAAAAATTAATGATTCACTGAGACAAATATGAACTGCCTCATTGTGTGACTACTGTATTATATGAAAAGTAAAAAAAAAACACCCTTTATGAATAGCTATCATGTTGCAAGCTCTGCTTTAAATAGTTAGTTGGTGTCCAGTGGAGGGAGAAGTAAACAGTACTGTTGCCTCCTGAGAACCTACATCTTCAAACACTGCAATCTTTGTTTGAAGTGAGTTTTTAAACTAGTATTATAAAAACTATCATTCTGTTCTAATAGCTGAAACATATTCCTGTGAGTTTTCATTTGTCAAATGAACTGTTTGTCAAATACAGAATACATATATTTTAGAACAATTTTCTTTTTAAAATGTGGATGAAATGTTTTGCTTTTTATGTAACTTTGAACTAAACAGATTTTCTATTAGCTTCAGATCTTGATCAAAGTTTGGCACCCAGTTCATAGGAGTGCCTATATTGATTTTCTGACATCTTGTTTTCTGTAAAGATTTATTGGTAGGTTTGCAAATGTGTATCAGACGAAAAAAGTGAAGGCATGTGGTTAGGTAAATGTAAGCATAACAAATCTAAACCGTTGGGTATTGTATGGCCAAATGATATAATTAAAATTGTTGGTGTCTTCTTCTTCTCATACAACTCAGGTGCTTCATTGAAATTAAATCTGGTGAATGTAACGGAGAATTTGAAGAAAACGCTCAATTTCTGGAAATCTAGAGACCTTACACTCTTGGGTAAGATCCAAATTATTAAAACCATGGCAATTTCAAGACTTCAATACATTATTAACCTAGTGGACATCCCAACCAAATGTCTGAAAAAAATTAACACAATGTTATTTAAATTTCTGTGGAGGGGCCCAGATAAGATTGCAAGGAATACAGTTATAGGTGACACAGACAAGGGTGGCTTTTCAATGCCAGACATCTATGCCATTTATGCAGCCCAAAGAATTAACTGGTTGAGACGACTGAGTGACAATAAAGTGTCACATCCATGGAAAACAATCATTTTAGACAAATTGAAACCAATTGGTGGACTCTCAGTTTTATTGAATTGTAACTTTGACCCTAAAGTCCTGCCAGTGAGGTTACCACTGTTCTTTTCAAATATTTTACAAAATTGGGTAAGACTGAT